CATGATGCCTTAGTACTCAGGCAGCACCATGGTTATGGTAAGCCACACCCGTTCGTGGTTCTGGTGCGTTATCTGACAGTGTAGAAAAAATACACTAACGAATCTACAGAAGGAGAAACCCTAGACTCCACTGGAAGCAATCGTATCAACCCCCAAATGTGTATCGAGATCGTCGAACACAGGCTCAAATAAACACGCGACTATGGGTGCAACAACTCATAGACCAATGAAATTATCGTATGTTGCTAATACCTTTAAATCTGTTTACAATGAGGAGTAGAAAGTGGGCAGTGAGATGGGAAGTGGGGAAAGCAAAGCTCTCAAAACTCTAAACATTGAAGACGAGGAACCTCCCTCACTATTTTTAGTGTCCCGATGTCGGAGAGCAATTTATTGGAAAGTTTGTCAGCCATTGTAAATGGCTGACATACAATGTTGGGGAAGGACTTTACTTTAGTCAGGCTTTGCCGCTTGTATAAGGGCCAAAACGTAGCAAAAGACAGGCTCTCTTAACTGGGGGCAACTTTGGATTCAGCACACGCTACAGAGGCTATCTCAGAGACCACTGTGTGAAGAACCCTCTCAGATCCAAGTTGGATACAAAAACAGCTGTAAATTCACCAGATAACCAATAACTAACCAACAAAGTAATTCACGGAGTGCTTGAGCTGGTAAATTATATTTGAACCGGATCTCACTAACACAGTATACAATTCAGACGTCGGCTATCACGTGGCGTAGGCCTTCGCACCATTACGACGATTAGTGCGTCCGGGCAACCTCGTCCGTCGTACTCCATGATCATTAAATCTTCGCATCCGAAGGCTGTAAACTTCAGAAGTCGAGAGAACTTAACGGCGGTCATTCAGGCCTAGCATATTTATAGTATTCTAATTATAGTATAAATTAGGAATTCCAGGATTAACGCAATTGAATTAAGAAGACACAGGCACCAACGAATGTATTGTATTTAGAATTCGAAATCAAACATTCAACCAGTACAAAGGTATCATTAGTCCATTCAAACACCACATCCGCCACAGCTTAAATAGAAGTATAAGTGTTTGTAATCGGTTGTACGTCTTCTTGTTAAGTTCATCCTGAGTCTGTCCGACATTGTATAAGATAAAAACTTTGTAGTATCTAGAAAGTGCTCATTAGTATTGGAATTAACAAACGAAATCGGAACAGACTCACCTAGAATTGTATACAATCAGCATATCGGTTTTGTACTGCAATCATTAATATCTAGAATTTGAACCATAGATTTTTCAACCCTATCCTCCCCCACGAAATAATGTTGGATCTTTATATCCCCAAGTTATGAATAATGTGGCTTCATTTAAAACATATTTCTCACATTGTTTAGAGTAAACATTATAACTGTTTTTGTGATAAGGGTAATCAGCAGTTGATATGAAATCATCCAAAATGTAATCAAACCCGAGGTCATTTTGTACTCGTGCTTCGCATTGAGCAGGCTTTTCATAAGGATCAGATGCATTATGAGGATAGGTAATATATGATATGACATCAGGATTTGATTCTTCTGAAATATTCTTATGAAATTCATTAGGACTGTCATTGCAGAGCGTAGGATCGTTAGAAAAATCAGCATCTATCCAAACCACATCAGGTTTACGATCATGATTAGGTTCATTTAACATATTTTCCTCAATATTGCAAGTAATTTCATTAGAAATATGTGAATCATTAGGAAAGGTCATACCTGGTACAATAGCATGAGAATTCTGATAAATCGGTTGCTTAGGAACTGTTGTCTCACAAGAATTCTGGATTTCATCTAACTCTGAACTGTAATATGACTCTGCACTGTTTTTTGAAAACGTTGATAAAGATAAATGATCATTAGAAACATCCGAATTATTTAAATTTAAATTACAAGATTTAGTACAGCTTGAAGCAAAATGGACAATAGCTTTGCATACTGACTGAATGTGTCCTACCTTACCACATTTAAAACATTCAGCATTACGAAATACACATGGATTGCGAGCATGAAACTTTTCACATGATAAACATTTACCAAACTTCATCTCACCTTTTTGATTTGCTTTGTAATTCGTCGTTGAAACACCTTTCATATTTACACGAGAATAGGAATCACTGTTAAATGAACGCAAATTTGATTGACCCTGAGATTGTAGTTCATCATGACGACTAAGCAAAGTATCAGAAATCTTCATCGACTGGATATCAAGTTCATTCACTGCTTCGTAGTTAATACACGCAGTTCTAGCATCTTGAAAGGAACAGTTTGGCATTTTTAACAGCTCTCTTTCCAAACTCGGTATGTTAATTCCTGCAATTAATCGATCTCTCAGTTGCACATGAAGTTGATCACCGAAATTACACTTGTCAGCTTGTTTCTGTAATTCAAGGATGAATTCCCGAGCCTTTTGGTCATTTTGACGAATCATCTTATGAAACTTCGCCCTTTCACGGCATTCAAAACTGGTGCATTTTACATGACTTAATAATAGCTCTTTAAGAGTTGCATAAGAGAGTGAGATAGGTTTTTCTGGATATGCCAAAGTTTTTAATAAGCTGTACGCTTCTCTCCCAATGAATGTGAGGAAGTGTGCCACAATATTAACATCCTCATCATCTTCTTTGGTCATGCTCCAAATTTCGAACCTTTCCAAATAATCCTCAAAAGCTTCAGGAGTTGAATGAATATCCAACTTTTCCATTGCAGGTTCCATCACGACGCCAATATAGTATTCTAATTATAGTATGAATTAGGAATTCCAGGATTAACGCAATTGAATTAAGAAGACACAGGCACCAACGAATGTATTGTATTTAGAATTCGAAATCAAACATTCAACCAGTACAAAGGTATCATTAGTCCATTCAAACACCACAATATTCCTGATAAGACCCCTCCAATCGCATCAGATGTCGCGGAGGTCGACCTTGGTTGGTAATGCAACAGCAGAATAGCCCCATGAAGCATATCTTTGGGTCAGTAGATTTTATTCAGCAACTCACGGTACAGAACGCAAAGACCACTGTCCCTCTAATGAAACGCGATATACAGACAAAAATCTCACACACTTTAAATAACAATCTGCTTAAGACCCAGAAGACAGACGCTACGGTAGTGGAGCATCATATGATGAGATAAATTATCAAGTGACCTTATAGCAACGTAAGAAGACTAAGGAGTAAATTAGGATCAATCCGAATTGTGTGTTTTCAGTCAGATATGTGTTGTGAACGGGGAAATAAGAAGCCCAGACAACTACGAAAGCTATTTTCTTGGGACGTTATTTCATTTCATTCAAACCTTGTAAAACACTTATATTTATTATTGTCCCTATTTTATTCTACATAACATGAGCTTTCGTTCTATGCAACATTCACTGCCATACCCTTTTTTGTTCCGAAAATATTGTAATTTAAACATAATATTATGCATCTTATTTTTTACCCTAGTTCCCAGTTTCGGGCATAATTGTATTTTTCCAAATTATCGTACGTTGTGGTCAGGATATTCACTTATTTATTCATGTACATTTTTTCACTAATCCGAATTCAGAGAATTCAGTGTTTTGACTGTCTTGTCTTCTCTCACTTGCGTGCTTGCCAACTAATCAGGTTCTAGAATAGTTCTCTCTCTACCCCATGTCGAACTCACGCGTACTAGACTCAAGGTTAACCCGCTCAGCCTATCGCTCCAAGATCATAATCTAGACTAGACAGATCAAGTTCAAGTCATAACAAAGTATCGACGGGGTAAAAGCGATTCAAGGTTATAACAATATGACTATCAAATTCTTAGCTGAAATGTGGCTTTCGTCATATCAGACACGAAGTGGAAAGGAGAAATACATTAACAGACACATTAAGTTTTAACAACACACAGTACCGAATTGGCTGAGGTGACAGAACCTTGCTGCCTCAATAAGAGCAGGACGGATTACATGATTGGAGGAATATACTGACTCCCAAAGGTTCTAACACCGCAAAAGGTGAGACAATACTGGGTATATTAAAGCTGTCACACCTGGTATCTGACCAAATAATACTAACCAAAGATTTCCATACTCCATGCCCGAAACTTAGAAAACAGGATACACCTCTACAGGGTGGTCTCATAAGCAGCTTACCACAGCCATTAAAAGTTCAGGAATGACTGAACATGTGGGTGGCGCCATGACATGAGGCAGAGATGGAAAATCCCCACGAGCATATTTTCAGAACACCAACATCACTTTCCTCAATGCAACCCCCGAAAAATTGAATATCAATTACGACCTCGATTGTTTCCACTTAAAGTTACCCTCCTTTTAAATGCCTTCTCAGCTGAAGTGACCACAACCCCATTAGTGGGCAGCCTCAAGAAGAGACTTGACAAACACTTACTTACCCTTAAATTACCATCACCCTATTGAACCACTTTTACCTGATGTAGGTTTCACAAATTAGTGCGGTCATCATATGCTTATATCAGTAACCATTTACTGTGTCTTCCAATTTTTTACCTATTAGCAACTAATAGACTTATTTATCATTCTTGAAACAGTCTTCTCTTAGAACTGAAATAATCACTTTATTACTTTCACATCGTAGTCAAGCAACCTCTAACCTGGTGACGTGATGACTATTGGTACTCAGAAACTTCACTATTCTGAGACAATCGTACTCGACCACACTACGGGATATTCAGATACACAAATAACTATCGAACTGACTAGAATTAGTGCAATCGAGTAACAAAACCGCCACCTATTTAAACCTCATCAAATATCTGGAGCCGTACCGAAACGACGAGAAGCAAGAGCCAAGAACTCAATCGGTTTATGCTAGCCCGTGGCGAAGACACTGAAGATACAATCTACTATTACTCTAGCTAATCCCTTAAGAAAATCATACAAAATCTCCAATGGAGATAGAAAAGTTGCGAATTTTCAGAAACCTGCAAAGATGATTCAAGGAGTTTCTTGTTGGTCACTGATAAAAAAGTCGAAAGTTTAAAATAATATTTAGTTACGTCAGAGATGAATAATTTTGCTATGACCTTCAGGTCACCTGAGAAGCAATATTTAGAAATTTGGCTCATGCTGAGTTTCGGTCTTTTCGTTTCCCACTGTTCAGAAAATTCTGAGGTATTTAAAAGTTAGCAAGTGGATCGAAATATTTTGAAAAGTTTACTCCATGTATATGTGAGGAGGAATTAGTACTTAGTAGCATTTTCATCAAGTAAAATTACGAATATCCATTAATGCTTTCAGTGTAAATTTTTCGGGGAAAGTTAACAATGTTGTTTAGCTGTCACTCATATGTAACTGTTGTTGAAAACTGTTCATGCAAAAAATGTTGATAAATTTTCCTCAAATAAACCACTATTTTGACTTGTTGTGTGCTCCAATAATATGGTTGCTATGAGGTACTTAAGTCGAATTTCCTAAGTATATGGGTGGTAGTGAACTAGTCCATTAAGTTTTGCGAAAAGCTGGCTGTTTAATGGGTTAATATTTGGGGAAGGTAAATAAATTAATGTTAACGCTGAAGAGGAGTATATAGTTTGATATTAATTTCGCGTAGTATACAGATTGCATTTATTTCTCAGGTTTCTATTTGCTTTGGTTTAAATACGTTTAAGCAATTGCTAAAGGATTACTTAGCCAAAAACAGATTTGATTCCGATCTTGCTTTTCATTGGGAGGAGTTCTGGCTCCTTCGAATGCTCATACATACATTTATTTGTCATTATTCTATTTTCTCTCGCGTTCTTCCTATGTTAGCCATCCTACTAAGGCTCACTAAAATCATATTACACTTGAAAAGTTTTTTAGTTACGTTTCTGCAGCTTGTTTCAGTAATCCGATCTCACTCAACTACCTTCAAACATTTTGACTTCTAAATACCTATCTAATTCGCTATCAGACTGTGTAGTTAAACTACTCATTAAGCTTCATTGAGTGTCTTGACTGTTCTACAACGTCGAGGTGCGACTGTTGACTTATAGTAACTTGTCAGAAAAACATTAGATCACACCAAAGATGACCTAAATTGGCATAAACATCTCTGGAATTCGGTATACGTAAATTGATCTCATCACCCAAGTCACCACCGGCACTTAGCCACTCGTATGCACACATTTCTCACCTGCTTCAAAATGGTCATTATTAAGAGAGTACAATCGTTTAATTGGTCCTACTTAACCCTGCTGCTTGAATAAAGCAATGGAGGTAGATGTTTGCTCTCACTCTCCCTGAAGTATTTGTATATAGGATTTTCGAGATGTTAATAAACTTCTCAGGGACACCTCTTGAATAGACGATTCTGAGGTACATGTCTGTCCAACAGAATAAAGGCGGTCCTGATGTCAAGAAATGCAACGGTTGTTGGCCTGGAATAAGTATGGTGAGGCCCTAATATTCGGCGAGGGTGAAAATATGATCAATACGTATACGTTCAGAACGAGAACCAACCTGATCTTCGCGAGCCAACCTTTCCTAAGCTAAGTATGGCGGAAGCCATAAATTTGGACGCAGTCTGAAGTAGAATTATCCCTCGATAGTTAATACATGGGTGACGCAAACTTTTCTAAAGATAGAGACAGCTATTGGCTCATTCCAGGGTGTCGGATCACTTTAATTCTTAAACCTTTGCAAACAACTCAGCCAGTTTAATATCCAGAAGGTCACCATCATTCTTTATTTATTTATGTGAACACAAATATTGGTACATATGCGCCACACAAGCCACTTAATTTGTGTGTGGGCCTTAATACTGCCTAGGTGCCCAGACCGAGACAGGTGGTTTTACTAGGGGGCCACACCCAGAACCCTCGACCTAAAGGTATGATCCACAAGGCAGTGGAACAACGTCAGATGCAGTCCCATGGTAGCCGGTGACCAGCAATTGGTTCGTACTCCATTTGTTCCCTCAGGATCCTGTAGCCTATATTCACTATCGGTTTGAAATCAGGTTTTTTTTAACTCCCTTAGGTGGATCCTCCATATTCATCAAACCGGTCAAAGCGCCGGACATTCGCTTTTCATCCTCTCAGTTTCGTATACAACACTCCCGTGAGTACGATTTCTCTGGCAGTGGTTGTATGCACGTGACCATGTGAGGGGATTTCGAGAGGGAGAGCAAACTCTCCCCACTGTTGGCCGTACCAAGGCATTAGGAGGCTCCGCCATCCTCAATATTACCCTTATTTTGTGAGGTGTTTTTGGTCCCTTATTATGATTGTATTTGTGTTTAAATAAATAAATATGTTAGCAATAGATGAACATAAATCGGTAAGTAGTCTAGTCTTGTGTAAAATAGCTTGAGCTTACTTATCTTTTGGCCATGATTTTCAAAAGGTTGTTTGAAGGCACAAGTAGCTTTGGAAGTTATTAGTCCAATTTTTTTCGCATGAACGTATCCTTTTCTCATTTAATCAGGTTACAAATACACTTATTTGATGTCTATATCTTATCGTTACACTTCTCTGTCAAATTTATACAGGTCAGAGATCTGAATGCAGTCGAACTTCAAGATGTTTTAAACACTAATATTTCTTCAACGTTTTATCACACTATCGAAACAAGCTATTGGAAAGCTGCACGACTTTCCAGGGGATGGATTTCAATATTTAGTTCATTTTTTGCATTTAATGATCCATTTGCAAAAAATGCACATCAATTTCTAATTCAATCTAATACAGGATGCAACATCCTTTTCTGCTCCGGCCAAATACGCTCATCAAGCGATATAACTCTTGCAAAACACTTTGACTCTGAGAATATCAGTATTGGTCAGGTTCTACTAGATGCATTTTCTAAGGAAAAGAACGTAAATGCTGTTGTTAATTTAATCAATTCTTTGATTGGTTCTTTTGTACTTATATTTGTTAGCGTAAGTTATAGTCAATACTTACCATTTAAAAACGTTTAGGTTGAATCACACAGGGTTTATTTCACTCGAGATCCATTCGGTCGTCATTCTCTTGTTGCCAGAAAGTTTTCAGGACTACCTAGTGAATTATTTTGTATCGATTCAGTTTCAAGTATTGTTATTCCAAGCCAGTCTTCTTTTCCGGAAATTAGTTTGGATTCCCTTGTAAGCTAATTTATTTATGTAACTGCTCAACAGTGGACTTTGCTACTTTAATGTTCTTTTTTCACCATTATCGTATCTTCAGTGTTTGTATTCATTTTTGAGTTTATTATTTTCCGTTCAATTTCCTAAAATAATAGATACTCTAAGTCTAAATCTCCAAGTGTTCATCCAGCTTATTAACTGAAAGCGTAGTAGAAAACCTCACATATTTTTGTTTAAAAGTTCCCTAAGTTGCCTTAGAGCATTTAAATGAATGTGTGGAAAAAGTGATGACATAATTGTAAACGAAGCCAGCTTAGAAATGTTACAAACTGGCAGGTAGAATCGATGTTCTCACATCCTAATCAGTCCAGATTCATTTTTTATGAACTTCGCAAGACGATCTTCTTTTTTTGGATCGCCATAAGCTGAATAAATAGGCTTGCTTCTGATTTAGTTGATCAGCAATTACATATATTAGTCAACAGCTTTATTTCATTGTCTTTCAATGGATGAAATCTGCATTTAAGTATCTATGTGTATTCAGATACCAGATTGTTTTCTACCCTTTCTTTTTTGTCATGTGGTTATTTTTTTATTTTGCGATAAATGATAACTAATTCATACTTTTCAATCAGTTGAAATAATTTTTATTTAGGAAAATGATGCAAAGGATTGGTTTGAAATACCTGCTTGTGGAATATTTGTATCGAAAATCGTCTGTGACAATGGGAATATTTTTCTCTCAGATATTAATCTATATCCTTGGTCTGAACAACATTTACTTCTGTGCCCTTCAAATATCCCATTTAAAGTTAATAGAGTTTTGAATGTAAATCAAACTCATTGTAATAGCCTTTCTACAAATATGTGTATACCCACAACTTTAAAAGAAGTACAACAAAAGTTTTTGGATTTATTATCTGCTGTTATACATGATTCAGTTAACTTTGACTTGCTATATGATACAAATTACTCTTTCAATGTATCTGATGTATTGGACGATAATCGGTCAGGTTCTTTATTCGGTTTACTGTTTAGTGGCGGTCTAGACTCATCTGTTATCGCAACATTACTTGACAGGTCTGTCAGTTACACATCACTTTTTCATGTGATATGTTTTTTCTCCCTAAATGGGAATTCATTTTCAAATTTGAAAAATTGCTAGTATTTGTTGCCACGACAATCCTTATAGTTTACATAAAGTGAAATAATTAAGAACTATTAGTGTAAAAAATTAAATAACTAAACAGCTACATCATATAAGAACCTGAAACTGTTAGTGTTACTCCACTCAATTATTTCTAATTCAATTGGCGCAGCAGGATATTGTTTACATTTTCGCTCACAAATCCGTCGACATTGAATGAATTTCACAAGGTTTTAGGTTGTAAACATATTAAGCAAACTTATATTCAACCTCTTCATCTATCGAATTAAAGGCTTGAACCCTGCTTTACTGAATTCGGATTCGTTAACTGGATAGTATCACTATTCCTCATATAATAGTGTGACCCAGAGCTAATTATGGAAACTTATACTTGGTTATTAAATCTGTAGATAATTTGTGTGTGCAAAGTCATTGTGATTCATAAATTTTGAGAGTAAACGAGATGCCACTGATTAATAAAGATATTACTGGGTTGTATAAGTATTATCCCAAGTTTTGTTGTTAATTTTTCATTTTAATGAAAGCGATATGAAGACAAACCAGCGTAACGAATTTTTCTTTTGATGATCTCATCTACTGAAGCCTTACGATAATATTTTTGGCGATCTAATAAATATATTAATCTATTGGAAAATAGATTATCTTATTTTGTGCGAAACTTGACCTACCACAAAAATGGTTCAAAGGTCAAAGTACAAGAGTAGAATTACGGGTCAGGAAGAAATATGTGTGATGGTTGTTCACTTGACAAGTGTGAGAAAGAAATAAAGTGCGTGGTGATAATAGCGGCTGAATAGTGGTTACAAAAATTTGTGAGAACTATGATAACTAACTAATTTGTAAAACGAAACAAGAGAAAAAGATGGAATAGATGCTAGGGGTGTAGTAAAATAAGAGATTACACTTGATTGTTTGGACAGAGATTTTGTAAAGCCTCTAGGTTGGGCACATTTTTAGTTCGTACTCCCTTAGAGCTTATTCACTTGACTATGTAAATAATTTTGAAATGTAATTCTAGTGGGACGTGATCAGAATTTGTTAAGTGATGAGAGATATAGTCATACAGTTTCAGGAAATGATGTCGTCAGGAAGAAGTTTCTTTCACTGAATTATCTTTATCTCAGATTTTTAATTTTACTACTGATTTACTTGTTTAATGATGCTGAGTTCTTACAAAACGTAACATCCTAAAATCATCTTAATTTACTAGTATTTGGACTCTTGATTGTTTTGGAAATGTAGCCTTCTCAACGTATCATTAGATGTAACGAAATCTTAATTAAATATACTAATACTAGCAGGCTATGCTGTGGTGTTAATTCTAACGCAAACAGTTGAAAATACACTTTATCTTACTATGAAGTAAGATACGGTAACTTGAACCTATATACACATGTCTTAAGCTCTACGTTGTATATTATGACTAACTGAAGATACAGACTTCGAATTCTGGAAATGCTTGTGGTTATATTCCCGATATGCT